GACGAAGTGGGTATTCACCCACGAAAGCTCATGCTCCAATACGTCTGTTAGTCTATAAGGTGCCACAGGACTCTCTGCTGCTTTTAAACTCCCCTTGACTCTTATTTTCAGACATCAGATCAGGGGAGAAAACCTGTCTTAAGGGGAATATCTGGGGAGCCCAGAACATTTGTGTGGGACTTCAGCATGAAGCATGAGACTGTTTGCATCTATTCATGCTATTCTGCAGCGTTTAGTTCACAATAAAGGCCAATGTAGATGGTTATTTATAAAAAGTGATTTTCATAGTGTTTCTTTCTGTCAACAAGGGTACACCATGTTCCCATTCTTGGGGGGGAGGGGGCGTTGTTAGGCACATATGTTATATTTTCTTAGCTAGTACTACAGCTTTGAGCGTTAGAAATGGTAATAACCCTATATTTTATTCCCACTTACTTTGCAACTGACTATGCATAATTATAAAGGATTAAAACCAGGAGATTACATCATTTAGCTTAATGCTTAACCACACTTGATTACACACTATTCTGTGGCATCTAATAGAGAAGATCCAGAAAAATATTCCTTGTTCTGGGTTGCTTACAGACTATGAGCCAGGTCCTCACCTGGTGTAAATCAGTGTAGCGCCTCTGAAGTCAACAGAGCTATGCTGATTTACATCAGCTGAGAATCTGGCCCACAGTGAGGAGTTTGAGCGCAGCATTAAGTGATCCTGTAAAGAAACACAAATATACACAAATAAACACAAATTGTTATAGTCAGTTTCAGCATGAGGGAGGTGGCAGTGACAAACTGATGGCTGTGTGGTGGGTGTGACAGATATGGCAATTTCCGCCAATATCTTTGGGAGATCTTACTGTATTAAGTTTATGTATCATTGTGGGCCAGGGATTGTATATAATTCCATGGGGGAGGATGACCACCACTCCTTCAGGAACTAAGAACAGTGGGGCAAATTCACTCAGGTAGTCAATTCTCCAAAGAAGTACCATCACTTGAAGAGGCTCGCATATACTAGTTCAAACTGGATTCTCCAGAGACCAAAAGACAAAGAAAGGACTTTTGGATAAAACGTCTGAGTTTAAGCCGACTCAGAGACTTCTTTCTGATCCAGCAAATGAACAGGACTTTCTGTCCAGGGGAGGCCCCATTCCTTTTTGGGAAAAAGTTGGAAGGGCTTTGAGGCCCCATAAGACTGGGTGACTTCTGGTAAGCTTTTAGCATGTGTCTACGTACGTCTATGTTTTTATATGTTTTCTCTATAATGCTTTCACCTTAAGAATAAATATGCCTGCTTATAAAGAACGGTGTGGCAATTTGTGACTGCTGCCAATTGCAGTTGTTCATAGCCTTTAAAGAGAAATCAAAGCACAGACGCTGGCCTGTTTAGGCAGTCTGGCTTGCTGGGGATATCAAGCATCAGCAGGAACCCTGCAAACCCAGTCTGCAAAACCCCCGCTCAGGAAGGAGAAAGATGCAGGTTTCTGGTTACTGCCCAAGACAGGTGGTGGCCGAGGAGCCGGGAGCCTAGAGAAAATGCTCGAGGTGGAAATACCGGTGTAGTTGCCCTGAACTGTGACAATAGGAATGCTGAGACAAAAGGGATTTTAGATCTAAAACAGGATCTCATGCAAAAGTTTTCACTGGTTGCTGGGATACTAATCTTTTCTATAGGGATCATAGCCAGAAGGGATCTGAGGGGAAAGGCAGTGTCAGACCAGGAAAAATGAAGTTCAAATCTAATAGTACTTTAAAAAACAAACAAACAAACAAAAAACAACGGTAGCAGGGTGTATTGTGAACAGCCCATTGTTACTGAAACATCTGCGAACGTGAGGGGAGACGCGCTGACAGTCAACACCAGGTGCTGCATACTTATCTTTAAAGTTGTATGCAGTGGTGGTGTAACCGCGTTGGTCCCAGGATATTAGAGAGGCAAGATGGGAGGCTTGCTGCCACCACGGGCTGTGTGGACATGCCCTAAGTTATGCCAGCCAATGCACCACCCTGTGGAGCCACCAGGATTGGAAAGGTGCAAAGATGGCTTAAAGCCACGATAGCGCGCCCCAGCTGTGAGCTTTAGATGCATAGCACAGAATCTAGGGCAAAGGTGGGCAAACTACGGCCCGCGGGACCCTCCTGCCCGGCCCCTGAGCTCCTGGCCCAGGAGGCTAGCCCCCGGCTCTTCCCCCGCTGTTCTCCCTCCTCCGCAGCCTCAGCTTGCCCCGCCGCTGGCACAATGCTCTGGGCGGCAGGGCGGTGAGCTCCTGGGTCAGCGCAGCTGCAGAGCCCGGCCTGACCCGGTGCTCTGTGTTGCGCGGTGCGTGGCTGGCTCCAGCCGGGCGGCGCGGCTGTAGCACCGCCAGTCACCAGTGCTCCAAGTAGCGTGGTAAGGGGGCAGGGAGCGGGGGGCTTGGATAGAGGGCATGGGAGTTTGGGGTGGTGGTCATGGGGCGGGGGTGTGGATAGGGGTCGGGGCGGTCAGAGGGCTGTCAGAGGGCTGGGAACAGGGGGGTTGAATGGGGATGGGGGTCTCGGGGGGCGCAGTCAGGAAGAAGCGGGGGTTGGATGGGGTAGCGGGGGGCAGTCGGGGGACAGGGAGCAGGGGGGGTGGATGGGGCAGGGATCCCAGGGGGGATGTCAGGGAACAGGGGGGTTTGGATGGGCCAGCAGTCCGGGGGGGCCGTCAGGGGGCCAGAAGCGGGAGGGGGTAGATAGGAGGTAGGGGCCGGGCCATGCTCCCCTCCCCTAACCGGCCCTCCATACAATTTCCAAAACCCGATGCAGCCCTCAGGCCAAAAAGTTTGCCCACCCCTGATCTAGGGTGACCAGATATCCCAAAATTAGATGCTTTGCCTTATATA